GGTATCTACTTGTGTGTTATTGTGTATCCATCTCTTGAAAGCCTCCATGTGGCAGTCACATGACCAGGGATTTTCGGCGAGTAGTGCAAATTCTAGTGCTGTTAGATTGTGAAAACTTGGTAAATGGTTTAGTTCATTGCCAGTAAGGTATAGATAACGGAGATTTGATAAACTCTGAATAGTGTCAGGAAACTGTGAAAATTTGTTAAATGCAATGTTCAAATAACGTAATCCTGATGGTAGCCGGGGTAATTGTGTAAGTTTATTGAATCTGAGTCCCAAGTTATATATTTCGGGAAAACTTTGAATTGTTTCAGGTAGATGTGTAATGTCATTGCCCTCCATATATAAATAATGTAGATTTGGCAATCCATAAATATTTAGTCCGTTTTCTTGTATGTCTTGTGTAAAAGATACATTTGTGAATCTATTATTGGCAACATGCAAGGTTACCAACTTTGTGATATTATGGACTGTCAGAGAATGTAGTTGGTTTGACATAAGAAATACCCACAACAATTCAGTCAATGGTTGAAATATATCATGTGGTAAAGAAGTGAATTTATTATTGGAAAGGTCGAGTAATTTTAAATGTGTCAATGTAGTGAATTGAGTAGCAGATAAAGATGTCAGTTCATTACTTTGAACATTCAGATATGTTAGTTTTGTATGAATGGAATATCGTTGATGGTAATAATGTTATTTCATTGTCGTAGAGGCGTAACACAAGTAGATTGTATAACCCATTGAATAATGATGTATTCAGTGATTGAAGATTGTTATAGGACAAGTCAAGTGTTGTTAAATCAGTCAAGTTGTGAAATATTTCACTTGGTAATGATGTCAATGAGTTGTGGGATATATTAAGTTTCTTTAGGTTTGGTAACTCTTTAAAGACAGTTTCCGGTAACGATGTTAATTCGTTACTATGTAATATAAGTTCTGTTAAGCTGGTTACGCCAGCAAAAGCACTTGGTGAAATCTCGGTAATTCCGTTCCATCCGAGGTTTATGTAAACCATCCCATACAATTCGATAAAAGCATGTTCCGAAATTGTTGTTAAATCATTATATTCCAACACTAATCTCGTAGTATCAGATGGAATATTTGAAGGAATTTCAGACAGACCACCGTGACTGCAATCGACATTCAACTCTCCATCACTGTCTTCACAACTGCATACAGATGGACATCCTTTCAGTGTACCAGAGTTCATCAGCAATATTGGCACCACATATACGAAGAGAGTGATTTGCCAACTCATTTTGATATGATGGTCTGTAATAAAAAATGTATTATTGTTATTTTGTTAGAAGTACATTACACGTGCATATTATGTCTAAGAGCTTATTTCCGATAGGAAGGCCAAATTATTCTGATTAACAATACACTGAAATACAATATATTTGTACGACATGGGATTGAG